GTAATTGTGACCAACAAGTGAACTATATCCTCAAACTCTACCCCACAATACAGGAATAATCCACTACTCGAATACATGAAAAACGTTCGCAGGGAATTCTGTTTGATGAAATTGTAACGTTTTTTACTATATGTTATTATATGATTCCGAAACATGAATTTAATGATATTATCAATAGTTGCACATGTGTTACATTATTCCCAGTTAAGTGTGTCAGTACAGAAAGTACCAGCGTGTTTGACCTGAGCATGACACAGTGTGGGCGACAGGAGGGAGAGGAACACACATGACATTGCTGATATACTGTTAGTACTGGCTAAAATGATCGAAATATCGTCGAAATAGTGACATCGATAATATCGTACATGAACGATAATGGTAAGACCAGTTGTAACTGGGTTTCAAATGTCAGATCTTTGCTGTTTACTTTGGGTATTCTTTTGTTTGGATTGCGCAAGACTTTGGTGATGAAGAGTTATTTCTATTTTCATTAAAACAAAGATTACAAGATATGTATTATCAAACCTGGCACAATAGTATTTCATCTTCATCCTTTTTATGTCATTATAATTCGATTAAGTCAGCTATAGAACCAGAGAAGTATCATTAGAAAATAAGGATTTGATAAGAGCCATGTGTAAATTTAGACTTTCCCTACACAATTTTAATGTCAATTTTTCCCGAAGGTATAAACAAGACGATATAGACCTAATTAAATGTGCAAACTGTAAATTGGGTTTTATTGAAGATGAATTCCATGTATTATTAGTTTGTGATAAATATAAAAATCTGAGAGATAAATATTTTCCACATATTAAACATGTCCATAAAAACAATATGTTAATGGTAATTTATTAAACTCTCGAAATCCTCGTGTTACACATGCAGTTGCAACATTGTTAAAACATATATTTATTGCTAGATAACTATTTCAATTAGTGCTCACGTGACATTAAAACAATACATTATATATTAACTGTAAAATGGGCCATAAGGCCGTATATTACCGAATAGAGTGTCTGTCTGTCTGTACATAAACTGTGACAGAATCAAGATGTGATCTTTTCACACAATACACGAAGTTAGGTTTTTATTCATGGACTTCTTCCTAAATTATGTTAAGGATGCTATTTTGTCAGTAACCCATGCATAAGCGTGTCACCACTCACCAGTCATGTGAAATATATTCATTTCATTTAGATAGTTTTGCTCAAAGTTAGTTCTACGATATTTGTCGATAATCGATCGATATCCAGATAGCGATTATCAATCTCTATAAAATATATCGATAGCCAGCCCTATATAATATATTTGCATAAACTACTTTATGAAAGTGTTGACAACATGTGTACTTACGCAGAGGACATAGAGAAGTATTTCGTTTTAAATAACTGATTTGCGGATCTCTTGACATGTAATGTAATGTTTAGACATGTAATGTAATGTTTAGACATGTAATGTAATGTTTAGACATGTAATGTTTAGACATGTAATGTAACGTTTAGACATGTAATGTAATGTTTAGACATGTACTGTAATGTTTAGACATGTAATGTAATGTAATGTAATGTTTAGACATGTAATGTGATGTTCAGACATGTAATGTGATGTTTAGACATGTAATGTAATGTTTAGACATGTAATGTTTAGACATGTAATGTAATGTTTAGACATGTAATGTAATGTTTAGACATGTAATGTAATGTTTAGACATGTAATGTAATGTTTAGACATGTAATGTTTAGACATGCAATGTAATGTTTAGACATGTAATGTTTAGACATGTTATGTAACGTTTAGACATGTAAATGTAATGTTTAGACATGTAATGTAATGTTTAGACATGTAATGTTTAGACATGTAATGTGATGTTGAGACATGTAAAGAAACGTTTAGACATGTTATGTAATGTTTAGACATGTAATGTAATGTTTAGACATGTAATGTGATGTTCAGACATGTAATGTGATGTTTAGACATGTAATGTAATGTTTAGACATGTAATGTTTAGACATTTGATGTAACGTTTAGACATGTAATGTAATGTTTAGACATGTAATGTAATGTTTAGACATGTAATGTGATGTTCAGACATGTAATGTGATGTTCAGACATGTAATGTGATGTTTAGACATGTAATGTTTAGACATGTAATGTAACGTTTAGACATGTAATGTAATGTTTAAACATGTAATGTAATGTTTAGACATGTAATGTAATGTTTAGACATGTAATGTTTAGACATGTAATGTAATGTTTAGACATGTAATGTTTAGACATGTAATGTAACGTTTAGACATGTAAATGTAATGTTTAGACATGTAATGTAATGTTTAGACATGTAATGTTTAGACATGTAATGTGATGTTGAGACATGTAATGAAACGTTTAGACATGTTATGTAATGTTTAGACATGTAATGTAACGTTTAGACATGTAATGTGATGTTCAGACATGTAATGTGATGTTTAGACATGTAATGTAATGTTTAGACATGTAATGTTTAGACATGTAATGTAACGTTTAGACATGTAATGTAATGTTTAGACATGTAATGTAATGTTTAGACATGTAATGTAATGTTTAGACATGTAATGTGATGTTTAGACATGTAATGTTTAGACATGTAATGTTTAGACATGTAATGTAACGTTTAGACATGTAATGTAATGTTTAGACATGTAATGTAATGTTTAGACATGTAATGTTTAGACATGTAATGTGATGCTCAGACATGTAATGTGATGTTTAGACATGTAATGTAATGTTTAGACATGTAATGTAATGTTTAGACATGTAATGTTTAGACATGTAATGTGATGCTCAGACATGTAATGTGATGTTTAGACATGTAATGTTATGTTTAGACATGTAATGTTTAGACATGTAATGTGATGTTTAGACATGTAATGTTTAGACATGTAATGTGATGTTTAGACATGTAATGTAATGTTTAGACATGTAATGTAATGTTTAGACATGTAATGTAATGTTTAGACATGTAATGTAATGTTTAGACATGTAATGTTTAGACATGTAATGTAATGTTTAGACATGTAATGTTTAGACATGTAATGTAATGTTTAGACATGTAATGTTTAGACATGTAATGTAATGTTTAGACATGTAATGTCAAGATTAAAAGCTTAAGACAATGGTAATCATACAAGGATGTTTTTGTTTTGACTGAAACATAAAGAAATGAAAACTTTCTATAGCCTAGACTAAAACAAATTAGTTACATTTCAATTCAGATGACCACATCGACATAAAACTCGGAAAACGGCGACGAACGGGAATTTAACAGAACGATTGACTCCTGGTGATGTTTCACATTATTCTCTATATATTAAACACTTGAAAAACACAATTCCTTGGATCAATTTGTTTAAAAAAGATAGTGGTGATGGTGGACATTGGTGGAACAGTAGATGAAGATGACCAGTCAAGATACCAAGAATGGTAATTAAAGATGATATATTATATTTCAGCAACATGCTCCACATCATACACATAACTTGATAACAATGCTTGCATTGAAACGGGCATTACGTCACAGTGGTCAGTCTGATTTCTCAGCATGTGACGGCTGATCGATGCCCCTCCCTCTTCCTTTGTCCCGTCCATCACGATGGCCGTTGACGGGGGGACGGGAGGTTTATTAACCCCGACGGTCGTCATCAGTACCATACCTTCTCCACCTTCGTCGACAGCAGACAAACAGCAACTGGTGAGTTCAATGTTTGGTTATAGCCGCTTATCGCAATTACAGTTCAACAACATATGTTAGGTATTAGGATATCAATCACTTTGTACATATGGCCTTCTGAAATGCAAGACCGATTATACACAGAGAGAAGATACACGCAGAGAAAACTTATAAATTAGCGTTTCCTGGTTTGTAGCACCATATACATGCCCGAGAGTTTCCCTAAGGTGGTGAACATTGATGTTCCCTCCTCGGGGTGATAACACACTGAACGTGATGTAACTTACATCCTTGTCCCTCACATGTGGTGCAGAGTTGCGTCCCCTTGGGCTCACAAGGAACATAAGTTTGCTGCTTCCAAACACATTTCTTCCCGATTACGTTCCTGTGTTTGTCAGCATCTCAGGCTCTTGGTTTTCACCAGTGGTAAAGTCTGAGACATGACGTAAAGCCCACTCGTCACCATAACGACGATCGATCACCGATAAGTAATGTTTTAATTTGCTTGTATGTTGTTTTCAGAAAGTAGATTGGACGACGTAAAGGGGCGATGAGAACTACCACCATCTTGGCCATGGCCGTACTAGGCTGTTGCTGTCTTGTGACCGACGCTTTCGTAATTGGTATGTATATGCAGATATAGATAACATATTCCAGAGTGAGATAATATGTATCTTCAACAGCATACTGTTCCCCAAGATGCCTACATCTCCAAATGGCATGTCACGAAATAGCTTAATGATGCCGCCATAATACTAAGTCCTCAAGTCGTCTGAGGCTGTGCAAGGCAACATTAAACCCATTTCTGTCTCGCTGCCTCAGCAGCATATCTTCGGTGTGCACGAAGCATATGGTCGTGGGTTGTCATCTGTGGATCACCCTCAATAACATTCTAGGTCTAACATCAGCAGGTGCCACGTGTGTGCCTAGTATCTACATCACTTTGGCATCTCTTTCATCCTTAAATCAGCACTTACCTACCTAATCTCGATTACTGAAATCCTTTCAACCACTCTTACTCACTCCATACGACCAATTACATATTTTCAAGTGTTTAAATATCCTGCGATTTGTACTATTAGCCAAAGAATAAATTAACAAAATAAATCAACAAAACTTCAAATTTGTTTTCATTGATTTATGTGCAAGCTCCACCCGGTATGTGCAAACAGGTTACAAGCATAATTGGATGTTCTCTGCTTATTCAATACTTTTAACATTTGCGCTTTTTTTGCAAAGAACATGGTATGTTGAAATTGAATTTATTTTTCTTGCAGGTTCCCCATATAGAATGAATCCCTACAATCCTCTGATAGCTCGAAGGCGCCAAATTCCAGGGTTTGGACGTGCGATCATCTACAATCCCACTAATGCACTCCGGGGAAGAGCCACTCAAGTCACTCCAGAAGCTCCACGAGCTCAACCAACTCAAAAAGTCGATCCTCCTGCACCACAAGCTATGAAAGTCAGCCCCCGAGCACAATCTCAAACCGTCCATCCCCAAGCTCCAACTAGACGCCAACCCTTCCAAGGGAATACTATCATCATCATCAGGGAGGACGCTCCTAAACCCCGTGGTGCCCCCTCCTCTGCTCAGGCTCAAGGCACAGTCGGATCAGTCCCAGCTTCAAGCGCAATTAATTCCCCTACCTCTGTGTATGGCCATGCCTCTTCCCAAACCTCTTTTGACCCTTACTCTGCCCCTCTCCCCACTGACGCCTTTCCTGCCGCTGACCTACACTTTGCTGATCCTTTCTCTGCCCCTTTCCCAGCTGACCCTTTCTTTGATCTCTCCATGGACTCCGCAGACCCTTTCTCCTACTCAAGGTATGCAGATCCTTTCGCTGTCCCCACATCTGAGCCCAACCCTGCTCCAGCAGCCCAAACAGGAGTCTCCCCACAGGTACACACCCCAGAACCAAACTCTCACGCAGATGCTGCTCCTGGCCCCTTCTATGGTGGTTCCCAACATGGATACGACGCCTTTGACAACATGATTAGACTGCAAATGCTGGCTGAAATGGACCTTCCCAACTACGGCGAACCTCACAGCGTGAATCGTCCGGCTCAAACCCATGGAACACCTGCCAGCCAGGGAACAGCTCAGCCCCCAACTCCCAAGTCCCCTACCCAAGCTCCTTCCTCTCAGATGAGTGCCCAAGACAAGTTTGATCAACTATACTCCCAGCACCTCGCTGAGGCACTAGACCTTCCTATCCTACCAGGACAACAGATGTCTGGTGCTACCAACAATGCCAATGCATCCCCCGCTGACATCCCCAAACCATTTACATCACAAGCAGCAGTAGCACTGGCAGCGGAATCAGCACCACAGTCAGCAGCTGAACTGACAGCATTCCCAGCAGCCTCACCAGTGGACAAAGCAGCTGCAACACCTGCTGGAGGCTCCAGTGGTTACCACCCCTATGATCTCTACTCTCTTCATCTCCGAGAGGCTCTTGACCTACCCCCTATGCACCCTATGACCCACGCTTGATGGGAACCGTGCCTCCTCGTGACTGGCAGGTGGTTGAGCTCCAGATCATCTCCGGACGACGGGTTCAGATCCATGGCAGGCGAATGCGTCTGTCGCAATGGTTGGTGTGTGAATGGTGTTATGTCAAAGAAAAAGTACCTGTTTCGAGGTAGATTTGTCTGTTGGTCATCTTTGGTGTTTAGTATGACAATAAACATTGAGAACGTAACCATCTTTGCGTATTATTACATAATGTTGTTTGTTCATTATTACACTTCAAGATTGATTTTTCTGTTTAGTTCTTAAGTTCTTGACATGCAATTAATGTTTTTTCAAACATTGGAAAGCCTACAAAATGTGAGCAAATGCCATCTTCTTCTACCGTACATATATTGTTGAATCAGAAAAGATCTGTAAAGATCTTTTCAATATGCACGCGAAGCTGAGTTTTTACCATTTAAAGGTCTCAATTTTCACTTGAAAATTTTGTGACTTGAAGCGAACCTACAACATCACATGACTTTTTTACTTTTGTATTGAAACACCTGTTGTCACCCTGAGTTACAGGGATAAGAGAACAACGGGTTCAATAGGACGCCACCGACTTCAGTGGTCTTCTTGCTGCACGTAGTCTTGTAAGTGTAGTATTCCCGGTAGGTCCTGCATTTAGCCGGTTCGTAAATGAGTTAAACCCCTCTTCCTCAGTCCTGGTTGAAAACTTAAAAACCTCGCTCGCTGGTGTTGGATGCCAGGGTGATAGTGTCATGTCTCCATCTACACTGTACATATATACTCCAGCAGACAAAGGGGTAGCCACGGGGATAACGCTGTGAACCGCTGGATTGTAACACACATCGTCAAGGATCTATAACCGACTGAACGGTCTTGGTGCTATCAGTACACTACAAGTGCCTACACAGGTCTATGTGTTATCAGTACACTACAAGTGCGTACACAGGTCTTGGTGCTATTAGTACACTACAGGTGCGTACACAGGTCTAGGTGTTATCAGTACACTACAAGAGCCTACACAGGTCTATGTGCTATTAGTACACTACAAGTGCGTACACAGGTGTAGGTGTTATCAGTACAGTACAAATGCACACACAGGTCTAGGTGCTATTAATACTATACAAGTGCATACACAGGTCTAGGTGCTATTAGTACACTGCAAGTGCGTACACAGGTCTATGTGTTATCAGTACACTACAAGTGCGTACACAGGTCTATGTGTTATCAGTACACTACAAGAGCGTACACAGGTCTTGGTGCTATTAGTACACTACAGGTGCGTACACAGGTCTAAGTGTTATCAGTACACTACAAGTGCGTACACAGGTTTATGTGTTATCAGTACACTACAAGAGCGTACACAGGTCTAGGTGTTATCAGTACACCAAGGTGCGAACACAGGTCTATGTGTCATTAGTCAACTACAGGTGCGTACACAGGTCTAGGTGTTATCAGTACACTACAGGTGCACACACAGGTCTAGGTGTTATCAGTACACTACAAGTGCGTACAAAGGTCTAGGTGTTATCAGTACACTACAAGAGCGTACACAGGTCTATGGTGCTATTAGTACACTACAAGTGCGTACACAGGTCTATGTGTTATCAGTACACTACAAGTGCATACACAGGTCTATGTGTTATCAGTACACTACAGGTGCCTACACAGGTCTATGTGTTATCAGTACACTACAATAGCGTACACAGGTCTTGGTGCTATTAGTACACTACAGGTGCGTACACAGGTCTAAATGTTATCAGTACACTACAAGTGCGTACACAGGTTTATGTGTTATCAGTACACTACAGGAGCGTACAGAGGTTTATGTGTTATCAGTACACAACAAGAGCGTACACAGGTCTAGGTGTTATCAGTACACCAAGGTGCGTACACAGGTCTATGTGTCATTAGTCCACTAAAGGTGCGTATACAGGTCTAGGTGTTATCAGTACACTACAGGTGCGTACACAGGTCTAGGTGTTATCAGTACACTAAAGGTGCGTACGCAGGTCTAGGTGTTATCAGTACACTACAGGTGCACACACAGGTCTAGGTGTTATCAGTACACTACAAGTGCGTACACAGGTCTATGTGTTATCAGTACACTCCATGTGCGTGCACAGGTCTAGGTGTTATCAGGACACTTCCGGTGCGTACACAGGTCTAGGTGCTATCGGTACACTACAGGTGCGTACACAGGTCTATGTGTTATCAGTACACTACAAAAGCCTACACAGGTCTATGTGTTATCAGTACACTACAAGTGCGTACACAGGTCTATGTGTTATCAGTACACTACAGGTGCGTACAAAGGTCTATGTGTTATCAGTACACTACAGGTGCGTACAAAGGTCTATGTGTTATCAGTACACTACAGGTGCGTGCACAGGTCTAGGTGTTATCAGGACACTTCCGGTGCGTACACAGGTCTAGGTGCTATCGGTACACTACAAGAGCCTACACAGGTCTAGGTGTTATCAGTACACTACAAGTGCGTACACAGGTCTATGTGTTATCAGTACACTACAAGAGCCTACACAGGTCTATGTGTTATCAGTACACTACAGGTGCGTACACAGGTCTAGGTGTTATCAGTACACCAAAGGTGCGTACGCAGGTCTAGGTGTTATCAGTACACTACAAGTGCGTACACAGGTCTATGTGTTATCAGTACACTACCAGGTGCGTGCACAGGTCTAGGTGTTATCAGGACACTTCCGGTGCGTACACAGGTCTAGGTGCTATCGGTACACTACAGGTGCGTACACAGGTCTAGGTGTTATCAGTACACTACAAAAGCCTACACAGGTCTATGTGTTATCAGTACACTACAAGTGCGTACACAGGTCTATGTGTTATCAGTACACTACAGGTGCGTACAAAGGTCTATGTGTTATCAGTACACTACAAGTGCGTACACAGGTCTATGTGTTATCAGTACACTACAAGAGCCTACACAGGTCTATGTGTTATCAGTACACTACAAGTGCGTACACAGGTCTAGGTGTTATCAGTACACTACAGGTGCTTACACAGGTCTAAGTGTTATCAATACACTACAGGTGCGTACACAGGTCTAGGTGTCATTAGTCCACTAAAGGTGCGTACACAGGTATTGGTGTTATCAGTATGCTACAGGTGCGTACACAGGTCTAGTCGTCATTAGTCCACTAAAGGTGCGTACACAGGTCTAGGTGTCATTAGTCCACTAAAGGTGCGTACACAGGTCTAGGTGTTATCAGTACACTACAGGTGCATACACAGGTCTAGGTGTTATCAATACACTACAGGTGCGTACACAGGTCTAGGTGTCATTAGTCAACTACAGGTGCGTACACAGGTCTAGGTGTTATCAGTATACTACCGGTGCGTACACAGGTCTAGGTGTCATTAGTCCACTAAAGGTGCGTACACAGGTCTAGGTGTCATTAGTCCACTAAAGGTACGTACACAGGTCTAGGTGTCATTAGTCCACTAAAGGTGCGTACACAGGTCTAGGTGTTATCAGTACACTACAGGTGCATACACAGGTCTAGGTGTTATCAGTACACTACAGGTGCGTACACAGGTCTAGGTGTCATTAGTCCACTAAAGGTGCGTACACAGGTCTAGGTGTTATCAGTACACTACAGGTGCGTACACAGGTCTAGGTGTCATTAGTCCACTAAAGGTGCGTACACAGGTCTAGCTGACTTATTGCATGAGGTACATATCAATTCACTCGGTAATTTAACAGCTGTAACATATGTTATATGTTGGGTTGAGTCCCATCCGGGATTCGAACCCACGATTCGCTGGCGATTAGGTGCCTGACTCTGAGGGTGTGGGTTCGAATCCCGGGTGGGACTCAACCAAACAAAAACACTAGAATCTGTACTTTACTAAGAAAGTATAATCCAAAATATAATATATGTTACATTTGACCACTCTCTAAATGGCACAGTGTAATAGTAACACCTGTCTCGTCCACAGCACCAGAGTCTGAATATTTGGAAAGGTCGTGATCTAAAATCCACGTTTTCAAGTAGCTCCGTGTTTTCAGATTCTGCTTTCACGTATTCTGTCTTGGATTAAGTGCACCACAGTTCCCACTCATAAAGGCTCATGGAACTTCACACATATCTACCATACGGTCAGACAACAGTCTGGATTCAGACCGCCTCCTCGTAGTCCATTTATCTCTCAGGCAATTCAACTTCTGTCTTTGTAAATCATGACTGAATGTGATGGCCTCGATCCAAGGGTGAACACGGGTGAGAGTGACTGTTGAACATTGTTCACTACAATAGTACAGCAATATTACAACAATATTACAGCAATATTACAGCAATATTACAACAATATTACAGCAATATTACAACAATAAATGGGCCTCACACATTTGGCTCATCTGGACAATTGAGCACAGACCAAGGTTACGAATAAATGCAAAACCCCAAGTGATGAATTCACACTAGACGTTCTTGTGACGTACAGATGCCCAACACCAAGTGATACACGTCCTGTGCCTCCACATCACATGAAGTGCGCTAGTTATACGTGGCTCCTAAGGCATCATACGCGTGGACGAAACACTATATCAATGCAGTTATCCCTTTAGTTGCCCAGTTATCCGTTGAAGTATATTTGTAGTTGAAAGCATGAAATCTTCACCTCACCCTGACCTCGAACCACCGGTTGTACGTTTTCAACCATACCGAAGGAGGGCTGATTCGACTGATTCGACTGATGTCTAGGGGAAGTGGGAAATTAGCTCTTAAGGAAAACTGGCTTTATAACGGGAGAAACATTGAAACGGTAAACAGCTACAAATATCTAGGGTTTGTGTCACTTGTAATTGTAGTCTTAGACAAGCGGTCTCAAAACGTGCAGCTCGTCGTAAGAAGGTTTTAATGGAACTATAAACCTAAGCAAATTAGGATCAATCAATACCCATGGAAGTATTTTTGTAAATATTTGACAGCCAAATTCAGCCAAAATATTTGTACGGGTCAGAAGTTTGGAGGCTA